TATTTATTATATGTCAAGAATACAAATTAATCTGGGGCAAGCAGGATGAAAAATTCCTATATGCAATACAGTCACAATAGGAAGTTAAAGCATTAAAAAAACAGTTATTTGAGCACGCAAATTGCTATGCAATCTACTATCGTGGCAGAATTAAAAATAAAAATTTATTCCACATGACTTTTAAAAATATATATCTTATGTACTTTGTTAAATACTCAAATTTTAAAATTTTAACAATCTTCTTTTAATTTGAATTCCAAATTCTCTCCCTCCCTTCTGCTCCTCCCCACCCCTGCCTTGAGCAGGCAAGCAATTTTATATCAATCATACATATGAAATCATGTAAAACATATTTCCATATTAACCGTATTACAAAAAAAAAAGAGAAAAAATAAACCAAGAGAATTAAAGTGTTTTTTTTTAAGTATGTTTCAATCTGCCTTCAGAGTTCATCAGTTGTTACTCTGGAGGTGGATAGCATTTTTCATCATAGAACCTTTGGTAGTGTGGATTATTTCCGTGATCAGAGTAGCTAAGTTTTTCACACTTGATCATCATTATGATATTGCTGCTACTGTGTACAATGTTATCTTGATTCTGCTCACTTCCCTTTGCATGAGTTCATAAAATTCTTCCTGGGTTTTTTCATACTGTTTGTCATTTCTTATACCACAATAATATTCTATCACAATCATATATACAACTTGTTCATCCATTCCTAAATTGATGGGAATCCTCTTAGTTTTCAATTATTTCTCACCACAAAAAGAGTGTGTATATATATGTGTATGTATATACATACACACATGTATACAAAGAATGTATATATATATATATATACATATATATACACACACACACACACACTTTTGTGTATACACACACACACACACCTACATACATACATACAAATAGGCCTTTTCTCCCTTTTCTTTGATTTTTTTTTTGGGGGATACAGTCCTGTAATGGTATTGTTGGGTCAAAGGATAAGCTTAGATTTATAGCATTTTGGGCATAGTTCCAAATTGTTCTGCTGAACTCTGCCAAAGATGAATTAGTATTCTAAGTTTTCAACATCCCTTCTACCATTTGTCATTTTCCTTTTCTGTCATGTTTGTCAATCTGATAGATGTGAGGTGGTACCTCAGAGTTGTTTTAATTTTCATTTCTCTAATCAGTAATGATTTAGAGCATTTTTATGTGACTATTGACAATTTTGATTTCTTTTTCTAAAAACTTCCCTATTCATATCCTTTGACCATTTATCAACTGGGCAATGGCTTTTATTTTTATAAATTTGGCACATTTCCCTATACATTTGAGAAATGAGGACTTCATCAGAGAAACTTGCTGTAAAATTTTTTTTGCTAATTTCCTATTTTCCTTCTAACTTTGCCTATATTAATTTTGTTTCTGCAAAAGCTTCTTTCGTTTCATGCAATCCTAATTATTCATTTTACTTCTTGTAATCCTCTCTGTCTCTTGTGTGGTCATAAACCTTCCCTTATCCATAGATCTGACAGACACATTTTTCCATGCTCCCCTAATTTACTTATAATATCACCCATTATGTCTAAACCATTTATGCATTTTGACCTTATCCTGGTATATGATATAAAATGTTGATCTATCCTTGTTTCTGCTACACTATTTTCTAGTTTTCCAAGAATTTTTCTCAAATGTTGAGTTTTTACCCTAAGAGCTTAGATTTTTGGGTTTATCAGACAACAGATAACTATGGTCACTTACTACTGTGTATTGTGTGCCTAACCTAATCCAGTGATCCTCCACTCTATTCCTTAGCCAGTATCAGATTGTTTTCAAGATTCTTGCTTTGTAATATGGTTTGAAATGTGGAAATGCTAGGCCACTTTGCTTCACGTTCTTTTTATTGATTCGTTTGATATTCTTGACCTTTAGTTCTTCAGATGAATTTTTAAAATGTTTTTTCTAGCTCTATGAAATAATTCTTTAGTATTTTGATTGGTGTGGCACTGAATATGTAAATCAAATTAGAATTGATATTTTTACTATATTGGTTCAGTCTACCCACAAGCAATGAACAATTCTCCTTTTGGTTAGACCTGTCTTTATTAGTGTGAAAAGTGTTTTGTAAGTGTGTTCATACAATCCCTGGGTTTGTTTTGGAAGGCAGACTACTAAATATTTTATATTGTCTGGAGCTATTTTAAATGATATTTCTCTCTCTATCTCTTCCTGCTGGGTTTTGTTGGTAGTATACAGAAATGTCATTGATTTATGTGGGTTTATTTTACATCCTGCAAGTTTGCTAAAGTTGTTCATTGTCTATTTTTTTTTCAGTTGATTCTCTAGGTTCTGTAAGTGTACTATCACATCATCTACAAAGAGTGATAGTTCTGTTTCCTTGTTGCCTATTTTTTCCTTCAATTTCTTTTTTCTTGTCTTATTATTTCGGCTAGTTTTATTAGTGCAATATTGAATAAAAGTGGTAATAATGGACATCCTTGCTTTACTCCAATCTTATTGGGAAGGCTTCAAGTTTATCCCCATTACAGATAATTCTTGCTCTTGGTTTTAGAAAGATACTACTGATCATTTTAAGAAAAGCTACATTTATTCCTATGCTTTTTGGTTCTTTTAATAGGAATGGGTGTTGTATTTTGTCATAGGCTTTTTCTGCATCTATTGATATAATCATATGATTTTGGGGTTTTTTTGTATGATATGGTCAATTATACTAATAATTTTCATAATATTGACCCAGTTCTACATTCCTGGTATAACTCCCACCTGATTATAGTGTTCCTACAATTTCCTTGTTAGCATTTTATTTAAAATTTTTGCATCAACATTCATTAAGGAAATTGGTCTATAATTTTCTCTTTTTGTTATTTGCTCTTCCTGGTTTAGGTATCAATACCCTATTTGTGTCATAAAAAAGGAATCCGGCAGGACTCTTTATTTACCTATTTTTTTTCAAGTAGTTTATGTTGTATTGAGATTAATTGTTCTTTAAATGTTAGATAGAATTCTCTTGTGAACCCATCTGCAGTTTTTTTCTTTCATTGATGGCTTTTTAAATGTCTTTTTATAAGATAGGGTTATTTAAGTTTTCTATTTCCTCTTCTGTTAATCTGAGCAGTTTATATTTTTTGTAAATATTCATCCATTTTATTTAGATTGTCAGTTTTACTGGCACACAGTTGTGCAAAATCAATACTAAAATTATTTTAATTTCATCTTCACTGGTGGGGCATTCACCCTTTTCATTTGTGATACTAATAATTTGTTTTTCTTCTACCCTGACTCTTTTACTTCAGCTGAAGCACAATAGATTCTGCTCTAGCACCTAATTTTAACTCTGTGTGTGACTCTCTGTTTCAAGTATGTTTTTTTTTTTGTAAACAACATATTGTTAGAGTCTGATTTCTAAGCCGTTCTACTATCTGCTTCTATTTTATGGGTTGGCTCATCTCCTTCATACTCACAGTTATGATTACTAGCTGTACATTTCCCTCCATCCTATTTTTTCTATTTATCTTTTTCTCTCTCTTCTTCATCCTGCCCCTGCTCTAAAGAAGTTTTGTTTTTCTTCTGACTACTGTCTTATTTTATTTACCCTCCCTTTTACCACCCCACCACTACCACCACCTTTTCTCTTATCCTCTTCCACTCCTACTTCCCCACTGAGTAAGTTGGATTTCTATTATTAATTGAGTATATACATATATATGTATATATATATATGTATATATATATATACACATATTTACATATATATATGTTTGTGTGTATATAATCCTTCTTTGAACCAATTTAGATGCAAATAAAGTTCAAGTGTTGTCTGCCCTCCCCACCATTTCCCCCTTCATTATAAAAATTCTTCCTTATGCAGCCTTTTTATGTGAGACAATTTTCCTCAATCTTCTTTTCCCTTCTCCCTTCTTTCAGGGCATCTCTCTTTCTCATCTATCCATTTTTTTACTTCATTCCAAAATAATTGGCGCATTCCCACACCCTCTTTCTGTGTAGAATCCTTCTAACCGCCCTGATAATGACAAAGTTCTTAGAAGTTACATGTACTATCTTTCCATTTAGAAAATCAAGCAGTTCAACTTTATTGAGTCCCTTATGATTTCTCTTTTTTATTTGCCTTTTTATGCTTCTCTTGAGTCTAGTATTCGCAAGTCAAATTTTCTATTCAGTTCTGGTCTTTTCATCAGAAATGCTTGAAAGTCCTCTACTTCATTAAATATCCATTTCTTTTTTTACAATTCTATAAAATCATCTTTTTTACCCCTTCCATAATCAAGCAAATAGTATTTGAGCAGATCACATGCCATTTTTAAATTACTAGGGTTTTTTTTCCTTTTAATAATAATAATATTGCTATATTTATGTAGTACTTTATGCTGGTACTTGAATGTTTATAAGGAGATTTTTTTTATAATTTCACATAGAGTAGACAGTACAGATATGATTACCACTGTTTTAAGGATAAGCCTCAAACTGAGGGTTGAAGGGTCTGTCAGTCACCTAGCATTTATTAAGTCCTTACTATGTGCAAGGCCCTCTATTCATCTTTGGAGATACAAAGAAAGGTAAGTAGCATCAGCACATTAACACACAACTAGTAAATGATAGAGTCAAGATTCAAATGTAAGCATTTTGACCACAAGTCTGTTTCTCCATCTAATAAAATATGATGTCCCTATCTTTTTGCCAAAATGTGAATTGGAAGCAAAGGAGAAAACCATAGCAATAGAATGGTCAAAGATATCCAATTATATCCAAATATCCAAAGATATCCCATCTTTAATTGTTCTGTCCTTTGTAATTTTTTATTTTTGCTTTTGGAGGACAGCAGTAGCACATAGTTATTTTTGACTAACTGATATACCTTTGTGTGTACAGAAAAAATGAGGGGGAGAGGGAAAAATACAGAGAGAGACAGAGAACTTTATTAGTTAGATATAGATATATATGAATATATTACATAAATATGTATGCATAGCAAATCCTTATATAATATCCCCAGCACTTTGCACAGTTCCAGAAACTGAGTAGCCCCTTAATAAATGCTTGTTGACAGGGCAATGCAAATAAGCCATTTTCCACAAACACTTCCTGACAGACCTAGAAAATGCTCTAGACTAAATCCTGATGGGGAAATTAAAAAAAAAAATCAAAATGAGTTTTTTTTTTCCAGCCTTGTTTGACATAGGGAGACAGATGAGGAGGTCTTCAGTCACTGGAGACTGGTGCGCTCAGGAGTCTCAATCCCACACTCGAGTACTGCAGCAGGGACAGGTGCCAACTGGCAGCTTTGTAGTTTACAACCCAGTCCTAAATTGCAGATTTAGAGTGGAGTGAGGAAGGGACCTCAACACAACAGTGTCATTCCTGGTTAGGGAGGTTTCGGGTGGTTACAGGAAAAAGGAGCAAGTTCAGAAGTCTAGAACATCAGTAGCAGTGGTGTAGCTTAGAACTTAGGCACACAGAAGGGTCCAATCTACATAGGAATAATCAAGGCAGGACCTGACCAAAAGGGACCACATAGTTCTGTCCCTCTGAGCCAAAAGAGCTTTTTGGTTGCTTATAGGGGGTGGAGTCCAGCAGCTGTCTACTCTTCCTTAGATCCCAAAACAAGTCAGAAACTTGCAGAGCTCATTTTTGAGGAAGGAATCAGGGAATCAATCATGGTTTGCCTTAAATCAGACCACTTTGGGAGCACTGAAAGCTTACAGGTCTCCAGCCTATCCTTGAAATCCTAGAATAATATAATACTCAATACTTCCCCCAAAGCAGCAATAGCTCCCCACCCCTTCTGAATGCAACAAAGCCTCGGCCTAATATCAAACCCAAAGTTTGGAAGTAGGCTGGAATAATGAAAAAAAAAAAAAGAATTTTACCACACTGAGTTATTATGGTGGCAAAAACTTAAGAAATAAATGCAGAAGGGAGTGACTCCAAACCATCTACAAGCATTGCCTCAGAGAAAAACAAAGCTTAGGCACAAATTCAACTAGAATTCCTTTTAAAAAATGAAGTAAGAGTTGTTTTTAAAGTGTTAAAATATTTTTATAAATGGAATGAGATTGGTAGAGGAGCAAATTGGGAGGAGGGGGAAGGGGAAGCTATAGAAGAAAAAAAATGGAAAGTAAATTAAACTTGGCAAAAGAGGTACAAAATCTTGCCCAAAAAATAAACTCTCTGATTTTGGAATTTAATGACTTACAAATAAAAGCTATTGACTCCATAAGAAAACAGGAAATATTTTAAACAAAAAAGTCAAAAGGCCAAAAAAGAGGAGAAAATATAAATTATCTTATAGCAAAAACAACTGGCCTGAAAAACAGATTTAGGAGAAAAAAAAATAAAAATCTTTGGATTATCTGAATGTTATGACAAAAAGGGGGTCCTAGATATCGTATTTCAAGAAATCTTAATAGAAGACAGCCTAGGTCTCTTTTAGAGGGCAAAGTAGAAATAAAAAGAATTCACCACTCACCTCCTGAAGCAGATCTCAAATGAAAACTCCTAGTGGCATCATAACCAAAATCTTGAGCTTCCAGATCAAAGAAAAATTACTACAAGCAGCCAAAAAAGGAAGAATTCAAACATTGAGGGGTTATAGGCAGGATCAAATATAATTTAGCATTTACCATTAAAAAGGAATAGAAAATTTGACCTTTCATATTTCAGAAGACTTATATCCAAGAATTACTTACCAGAAAAACAGTATAATGTACAGAAGAAAAATCAGGTCTTTAAGTAGAAGACTTCTAAGAATTTCTGATGAAAAGACTAGAGCCACATATAAACTTTGAAGTGAAAGTATAAGACTTAAGAGAAATATACAAAGGTAAACCTTAATGAACAATGACAAAGGATTAAACAAAATTCAAAATGCTTACTTTCAAACATGAGATGATACATTCCCCCTCTGATTTCTATTATCATCAGAGTTTACAGACACAGTCCAACTAAACCAGGTGTAGGGATAGTTCTGTTATGTCTTGATGATCTTAAAGAAAGACTAGAAAGAGAGGGGAAGTAAGGTGGGAGTAGAAAGGGAAAGGAAGGTTATGGAAAATTATCTCACATAATTAGGGCACACAATTAGGCATCTTTATAAACAAGGCGGAGAAAGTAGAGGTGTGGCTAATTCTTCAATATCAATCTCACCTGAACTCATTAAAAGAGGAAGAATACACACACATTTGGTGTTGGGTACAGAAATTCATTTCTTTCAACAGTGAAAAAGGAGAGAAAAGGGAAGAAGAATTAGAGAGAGGGCAGATTAAGGGACAGATTAGTCCTAAGCAAAACAAATTTTAAAGATACACAAAAATAACTATAAATCTTTTTAAAGTGTCAAAAAATGGAAATCTGAAAGAAGAGGGTGCCCATAAGGGAGAACTAATAAACAAGTTATGTATATAAATGTGATAGGATAGTGTTGTGCTGAACTCTAATTAGCATAATGATGACCTACGATTCCAGAAGACTAATGAAGAAACATGCACCCAGTCTCCTGAATGAAAGATGAAAGACTCAGAATGCAGAATGAGACAACTTTTTTCTTATGACATGGTCAACATGAAAATTTTGTCTTCAATAGAGGTAGGTTGGAAATAAAGCATATTAACAAAAAAAGAAAGAAAACTTGGGAACTCTGATCAACACAATAACCAACTGCAATTCCTGAGGGGTTATGATGAGATATGTTGCCTACCTCCTGACAGAGGGGTGATAGACTCAGAATGAAGGCTGAGATATTTCTTTTAGACATGGCCAAGAAGAAATTATGTTGGTTTTATCATACATTCTTGTAACAGGAATTTTGCTTTTTCTTGCATTATCAGTGAGGGGTGGGGAGGAAGAAGTAGTAGAGAGAAAAGGTTGATTGTTGAAAATGAAATATAACTATAAAGAAAAAAACAAATGTTTATTGATTCATTCATAATAAGCTTACTGTGAACAGCTGTAATACTTTAGAGTACATGATTTGATCCTTTTCATATTTGAAAGAATATAATGAAAAGCTACGTAATAATAGGTCATATGTACATATGTGACATTCATCAAGGATAACAGTACTGATTGCAATTGTAATTCCAATCTAAGTATGCATGTATTTTACATGTATATTTACTAGGCCTGTGATTTCACTGGTGTAGGGATCTCACAAAAAGTAATTTCTATCAGTGGAGACTCTGCCTTCTTTGCAGCTTACTGCTTTGTATAATTGCCTGGAGGTACTGAGAGTTTAAGTGAATTGCCCAGTGTTACACAGCCAGTATGTATCAGAGGCAAAAACAGAAACCAAATCTTTTTGAATCACAGGCCAACTCTCCAATCACTATGCTATGCTGCCTCACTTATGTACATAAAGCTGGCAAAAAAAAAATAGTAATGAATTAGTCTTTCGAAACTTTGCCATAAAAGTTGATCTTTCATTTTCTGTATCCAAAAGTCGCTATGTCTTGTGAATTTTTTCTTTAAAAAATCTCTGAGAATCATCTCTTCCCATCCATTCCTACTCTTGGCAGTTTGAACTTATTGTAGGGGACAATAAGGAAACACCCTGGAGCTTTAGAATACAAACATAGAGTAATAGAAAAGTGGAGAAGGATGGAATCTTTGAAAATATCTTTTTCCATTTTACAGATTTTCCATTTTCTCATTTTACAGATGAGGAAACAGACTCAGGGAGGTTCCCAGTTGCCAAAGGTCACAAACTAGTAATTGCCAAAGCTTGGATAAAAACCCAAGTTTTCTATCATTTGGTCCAGTGCTCTTTCTACAATACCATACTTACTCCCACAAGTAAGAAGGCAATGCCCAATTCTTTAGCTAAAATCATATCTACCACTAAAGGAAACTCAACAGAGATGGCCAAGATGGTGAAAAGTTTTCTTATAATAATCTGTTGTTAGTAGAATATTTTACATAAATATTATCATCTTCATTTTTTATTTAGGGAAATTAAAGCTCACATTCTAAGATGAATGCTCTTTTAACTGGAATATCAGTCTGAATACCATTACAATTTTTTACACTTTATCAACCCCTAGCTTGATTTAATAAATGGTTATCTTGATTCTCCTTCCTCGTCCTCCATACCATTGAACACAATGCTACCAGATTAATAATTCTAAAACAAAATTTCCATTATTCCATTCCAGGATTCTACATTGATTGCTTATTGCTAATCACATCAAGTCTAAATTCCTCATTTTGGTGTCCAAAGTCATCTATGAACTAGATAGAATTACTGGTCCAGCATCATTTCTCATTACTATCCTCAAATAAATCCTATGTTCCAATTAAGTTGATCTTCTTGTTGTTACCTTGCTGCTATAAAGTTTATTTTGCTTATGATACTTTTCTGACCTGGGAAGTCTTTCTGCTAACTGAAATCTTACATTTCTTACAAGCCAGATCCCAAATTCCACTTCACAGTGGATCTCTGAAGGTTATTAACTTTCATGTAGATAACTGGTACAGTGGATAGAGTGCTGGACCTGGAGTCATAAAGACCTGAATTCAAAAGTGACCCCAGATGTTTACTAGTTTGTATGACCCATGTAAACTGTGAAGTAGCTAAGATCCAAGAGTCAAACCCCAAAGTTCTCCTATGGGTAACATCAGCACAAGCTCAAAGTATAGTCACTTACCTTTCTCAGCTTCAGTTTCCTTATCTGTAAAATGGTGATAAGAGTATTACCTACCTCACAGGATTGTTGTGAAGATAAAATGAGATAATGTTTGTAAAGTCCTTTGCAAATCTTAAAATGCTATGTAAATATTATCATCATTATCATCATAAATTTAGAGGTAGAAGGGCTTTTAACGCCCATTTGCTGAAACTCCAGAATTTCAAAGAAAAGAAACTATAGCTCGGATTAGTAAAAATGCATTCATGGAGTTAATGGCAGAGATTGGATTAATATGTGGTGAAGCTGGAATTTGAACCATGGGTCTTTGACTCCTGTTCCAAAGTCTTACGCTTTTTGGCCAGTCCACATAATAAACAAAAAAATTCTAGGTACACAGTACGTAAGAAATACTTGCTGACACAGCTTTAATTGGGAGTTGTTGCTTACACTTTAGGACTATTATTGTTTGTACTCTGCCCCTTAATTTGATCCAAAGTCTTATGACGTCACTCAGAACCATTCTCTGTAGGGTGGCTAAAAAAAAAAAAGCATAGACTTTGAGTCAGAACACTTTAGTATGGATCTTGATTCTGAAACTTACTTTTTTTTTTCAGGGTAATCAGCCTCTCTCTTTCATCACTGTCTTCACTACATCACTTTCCTCATCTGTACTTCAATCCTTTAATGACCTACCATTTCATAGGAATAGGAATTCCTCCCATCAGTGGAGACCTATAAAATGGGGATAAAAATTTACTATAACCTATCTCACAAAGCTCTCTAGAGAAAAATATTTTGAAAATCATAAAGTGCTGCATAAATGAAATTTATTTTTATTATTTATTAATCTATTTGCCAAAGTCATTTTCCATTTATCTATAACCCTGGCACTCACTGTGAACTTAGGCTGCATTACATCTCTTAAGGATTTCTCTTGCTCTTCCTATTTCGTATCATCCCCATTTCAAGCCACTCAAATATTCTGCTTATTATGCACCAATTCATAGAGTTGTGTTGTTGTCAAGTCAAGAAACATTCATTAAGCATTTACTATGTGCCAGATATTGTGATAAATACTGGGGATGCATATATAAGTGCAAAGAAAGAAAGTCTCTGTCCTCAAGGATCTTAAATCCCACTGAAGGAAAACAATACATTAAAGGGGAATTGGAAAGCAGAATGGGGCAACAGGGTAGTAAAGCTTGGAGTTAGAAAGGTGGGTCCTTTCCTGCAAATGGAGATTCTGGGAAAAAACTTATCAATGGGAACAGGGGCCCATACTGGGGTTGTGGAGGTTGGAAGAGGGAAAGGAGAAGGCAGCAAAGGCATGGTAGCAAAGTCTGGAGACTATTTGTGATGAAAAATTTTTGGAGGTGAAACAGTAAAGTGAAAAGAGGACTGGATTTGAAGTCAGAGGAAACAGGTTCAAATTCCAGCTCTCCTGCTCACTAGTTATGTGAACTTGAACAGGGTGGTTCACTTTGCAGAGCCTCAGTTTCCTTTTCTGTAAAATAAGAAGGGCCAGACTACATGACCTTTTGTGTTCCTTTTGGCTCTAAGTCTATGAATTAGCTAAGCTTCAAGGCTGTATTCCTGGCAATATTGCCTTTCCACTTGATGTTAGCACCAAAAACAACAATATCATATTTCACCACATAATTGTTGCAAATTTTATTCAATTTTTTTTTGCAAAAAAGTAGAGTGTGACCATTTTGTGAAGCTCTTTTTAAAAAAACCGTGCTAGTATTACTTAAAAACCACTTATTACTACTGTATTGCTGTCAGTTTAGCTAGCATGGGAACATGCAAGTCTTACCATATCACACGACTTACTGATGGCAGCTTTGCCTGCCACTCTCCTTGTGCCTATGGCTCTTCTTTGGGTTGAGTGACAATACTGTTAGTACTGCAGCGCTCTAAACAAACAAGTCAGCTTTCAAAAATATGTTGACAATGCGCGTGCACTGAGAATTCTGGGCTTGTGGCTTGCGAGAGATAAATGCGTATCCATATGTCACTAGGGAATACATTACTGCTTTGGTTACCTTTAAAGTGGCATGAGAAACAGAATTATACCATGTGACTATTACATGATGAAAGGTTATAAACCAATTCTTTGACTGAAAAACAGGGTGTGACAATTATGTGGTTAAATATGGTAACATTACTACTGGATTGGTTAGATGTAAAAAAAAGAAAAGTAGTTCACCTATGGGTAGAGGCTATGAAGTAGTTAAGGTCCAAGTGTGCAACAAGAAAGTTTCCCTATAGGTAACATCAAACCAAACTCAACCAATGATATGTTGGCAAAGAATTATCGAGCCATGAGGATTTCTTTACATCAATAATTGAGGGAGGGAGGTGGGTTATGGTAGTAATTTAGGAGCAGAAATTACAGAAATATTATCCTTAAGAAGTCTGGACATTAACTGATTTTGAATATTCAAGGAAGCAGTAGAAACTATGCAGCATGCCACTGAAGGTTTTGAAAATTTAGCACCGATGGAATGCCCAAAAAGACACGAGCAAATGGCTAGAATTTACCACTAGCCTTCACAAATTAAAAGATAACTAATTT